CTGTCGTTATATGCCGTGGTCTGTCGTTATATGCCGTGGTCTGTCGTTATATGCCGTGGTCTGTCGTAAGATGTCGTCCTCTGTCGTAATATGCCGTGGTCTGTCATTTTCTTCTTGTTCTCTCTTTATGCCGTGGTCTGTCGTTATATGCCGTGGTCTGTCGTAAGATGTCGTCCTCTGTCGTAATATGCCGTGGTCTGTCATTTTCTTCGTGTTCTCCCTTTATGTTGTGGTCTGTCATTTTCTTCATGTTCTCTCTTTATGCCGTGGTCTGTCTTTTTTTGTATGTTCTCTCTTTATGCTGTGGTCTGTCGTTAGATACCATAGTCTGTCGTACTATCCCATGGTCTGTCATTTTCTGCATGATCTCTCTTCATGCCGTGGCCTGTCTTTTTTTGTAGGTTCTCTCTTTATGATGTGGTCTGTCGTAAGATACCGTAGTCTGTCGTACTATGCCATGGTCTGTCATTTTCTATATGATCTCTCTTTATGCCATGGTCTGTCATATGATGCCGTGGTCTGTCATTTTCTCCACTATCAATCGTAATGCCGTGGTCTGTCGTATAACAGACCACAGCGTATCCCATTTCCTATATATAGGCCTGCATTTCTAGCTATCAATTCATTTCATCGATTGACACACTTACAAGCAACTTCCATTGTATTACTGCAATTCTTATTCACAACTACAACAATCACAACAGCAGCCACTATTATATCATCGAAAACAGGTCTGTTCATATTTTAATTGTAATGTTAAGCTTCAATGTTTAGTGATTGTATGTATATATTTTTGGTTTACTCCATTACATTATTGTGTACTCATGTACACATAAATAACTGACAATTAAAAATATATAGATATCAATTATACTATTCATTGTTCCTTATAACAATTTTTTTTACATGTTTTTTTTTATTTAGATACTTTTATAATACAATTATACAGCGTTTGTTTAAAAATTAACTATGGTTGAACAAATTCTCGAAACTAACAATGATTTCGACGTACATGATCATGTCATGGATTTTTCAGATGACAATGAATTGTCTCATCATCATAAAGTACCTAGTATCCTCGACGATTACGATTGGAATGATATGACACAATTAATTCACAACATGGATTTCAAACCTGGTATGACATTAGCTTCTCGTCAAATAGCACAAGAGCATCAAAAAAATATTTTAACAATGAGAAATGAATTAACCAAAAAAACGCTTCTTATGCGTGCATCATACAAAGGTTATTCATATCATACCTATCCAGCAAATGAATTTCAACAAAAAGCATCGAATTATATTAAGGAAACAGGTATTTACAAGTTTATCAAGAATGTCAATTTAATTAATCCAAAAGTTAGTCAACAGTGTTTGAAGAATATTATACACAAAGTAGATACAACATTAAACATGTTACTTAATTCTAAATCTATTACTGATCAACAATATGTACTTATGCATCCACTACGATCAGTGGTACGTTTAAATTATTTACATTTTGTACCTGATACGTCCGAGGTAAGATTTGTTTCGTTTTTTTTTCGTTTCATCATTCTCAGTGCATTAAAATGAAATTTTTCATGTAGGACTCAGATCCACTTCAACCAATTATTATATGTAAAGATGGACCGACATTTAATCTTGCCCATTATCTTAGTGATAAACTTTGGTCGATATTTAATCAAATTACCGGCTGTAAAACATTTGCCAATAGTGATGATCTAGTGTATACATTAGAACAATATGCCAAAAACGATTGTCTTCATGAAACTACTTATTTTGTTACATTCAATATGAATGATATATGTACTAAATTTTCACATGAAAAAGTCATCAATGCATTAGAAAATTTTTTTAATCTACATCAAAGTGAAATACAAGAAACTTGTGTCGGTCTAACAAAAGAAATCATTATTGAACTTGTTCGTCTTGTATTACAAAATCAATATTTTATTTATGAAAAAAAACTCTATCAACAAATCCATGGTAGTGCTTCTGGATCCTTATTAACCATTCCATTGGCTTGTATCTATCTCTTCTATGGACAATCAACATCATTGATACATACTTTAATTAATAATAAAAAAGAATTATTTGCCAGGTAAATTTCATATATTCATTTTTGAATGAATTGATCCTTTTATGACTATTCTAGATACCGTGATGACATCTTCCTTACATGGAATGATTCCAAAGATAAATTTCAAACATGCTTCAATGAAATGATGATCAATCAAAAACAACATCCAAATATGACACCGTTGAAGTCAACGATCGGATCTACAATACATTTACTTGATGTCGAATTAACCAATGATAATGGTCATTTTATTACAAAAATTTATCGTGATCCAAACACGGATGAATATGAACTACCAAGTAAATATCAATATCATGTTAATCGACCGTCCAGCTTAATCAAAGCTGCACTTAAACATGCTGTACAATGTTGTTCAAATCAAGAAGATTTTCATCAAGAACGTCGTCATATTGATTTATCACATTTAATTCGTGGTTTTTCGCCTTCGTTTATTAATAAATGTATTCAAGAATTTTACAAAGAATTTAATATTGAAATGGACGCCCATGATTTGTTCGATGATTTGCCATATGAAACATTTCGACACCGTATTATGCATCGTTATGAACAAGAAATGGCATTCAAAAAAGAACAACAAACACAACAACAAAACATTATACGAATTCCATATCCAGACGATTGGACTGAACAAATGGCAATCAAAATCAAAGATGATCTTCTTGCTATCTTAAAAGACAATTCGACAAATAAGGAAGCTTTCAATAATATTAAATTCGAATTTGTACCACGTCCACATACACCATTAAGTATGAATGATTATTTAGTGGATAGACGACCACCTCTTTCTATGTTAACTTTGCCAAACGAATAAACATCAAATAAAAAAAAAAAACATGTATGTAGAAATCAAAACCTCGTTTTTTATCTTGGCACATACTCTTGTGTTTTTTAGGTTAAAATGAACAAATGTCAATGTTTGGTAATGGAAATACAACTGAAAAGACAATGTTCATTTTTTAGTTCATTTATTTTCTTCACTTTTTTGTTTTTTCTTGTTTTCCTATAGTAAACTTGTACTAGATATTGAATTCTCATATACACATATATATTCCTGATAATTCTATCTCATTCTAGATTCAAACATACAAAACAATTATGGACATTGACGATAACAACAGTACCATAATCAATCAAAAATCAACTCGAAATAAAAAAGTAAGACAATAGAACACTTTCTCATTATATAAAGTTATCTTTTTTTTTCTATTTTTCTTCTGAATAGGTACAACATAGTCAACAAGTGCCATTGTTTCAAAATTATAATGATCATAGTACTAGAAGAAAAGATCAACATGGGCGCCAAGCAGATAGTGAAAAATATCAACCGTTCAACGGACAAGAACAAAAAAAAGAAATCTATTGTGAATTCGAAGAAGAACTATGGAAAGAACTTGAAAAAGTGGAACAACAAGAAAAAGAATTAAAACGACAAAAGAAAGTTTGGGAACAAGAATGTTTAAAATTATTTCTAGGCACCGATGAATACGAGCAAACTTATGTTGAACATGCAGCACAACATACAGCTGTCGAAGAGATGGACATTGGAAAAGCATTCCAACAACAAGACGAAACCATGAAACACATTCAAAATTCAAAACAATATCAACAACATCCATTTGAAGGACATCGGAAACTTATGGACTCATTCAAGCATTTCCAATTCAGTGACAATGATACTGGATACTACGAAACAAACTCGAAGTAAAAATCTTATTTTTTTTTGAAAGAAGAAAAAAAACATGGGTTGTTCATTCATTGTCATCTGTGTTGTTTTGTTTTTTGTTTTTCTCAAGGATATATATATGTACTTCGTTATTCTAAAATAAACTGAACTTTGTTTTGGACGTTTTTTTTCCTAATCAATGATTATATGAAATATATTTTTTTTCTATTGTAGATAAAACTATTCAAAACATGAATATGACTACAAAATCCCCCAAGACTCCAAGTCAAGATGCACAAGGTCGATGGGGTGACTTATTGTCACCAACACAAGTACTTACTGGCCATGAGCCAACAACATCAGTCGTATCGAAAATAAAGAAAAAACAACCACGCAATCGAAAATTACAACGTTATTGTCGAAAACTTCGCAAACAAGGTGTTGATAAGGCAACTATTCAAATGTATGAACGTACGGCTCTTTTAGAACAACAAGACGCATCACGAAATATGGATATGGAACAAACAGTTCCTTTAAATGATACACAGGTAGGCGTATATGTGTACATAGTGCTGTCTAGAAACAAGTGTGCCATTTTTTTTCTATTCGTTGTGTAGAAATTGCCTGGTCCATACAATCCTGAACGAAAAACAACAAAACGTAAAAGAGATGAATCCACAAAACAAGATGGACAATATCAAGATACATCTATGTCAAAATCCTTTAGTCAATTATCAATGAAAGAAAATTCAAAGAAGAAGAAAAAAAGATCTTCATCATCTTCGAAGACACAAGAACAGCCGAAGGAGCAGCAACAACAGGAAGAGGACGAAAATAAAGTAAATATTGTTGCAGATACTGTCAATAAACAGGCCAGATCATTACATTATTATTTAAATACAAACAATAAAACATTTAAACAAATGTTAAAATCTGTCGTTGTTGATGATGATAAAAAATTTTTACAATGGTGTAAATCAAAAGAAAACTTTGACTATGTTCGTGAACATACTCGTTTATTAGATCGAGTCTATTATTTAAAATTAGAAGAAGATCTATGGAAAAATTATTTAATTTATGGTGAAACATACCGTTGTTGGACATCATCCTTATCAAAAACAATCATTAATGATAATAAATTAGAATTCGATTATAAAATATCAAAAAAATCAATGGAAAAATATATAGAAAAAATTAAACAAAATAAAGCAACAGCTGAAGGAGAAGTACAAAAACATGTTTTGTTATTGAAAAATTATCAACAACCCAATTCAAACATTAATGAACAACGTTTATGGGCAGCTCTTTTAGCTTTAGTACGTAAAGGTCAAAAGAAATTATCTCAACATTATGAACATCGAAAAGAACGTTTGAAAAATAGTGCTCAAGATTATTCTTTAGTTAAAGCATGTTATGATTGTCAACCAACACAAGATGAAATTATGTTCATGCAAATTATTTGGCAAGCCACTATGAATGAATGTAAATCACAACAAAATGTTGATATTTTAAAACAACATCTTTATATGAAACGAATACCTAAATCATTAGATTATCTTGATCAATCATTTTCAAATGTCGAACATACATTAGCTCGACCTATTTATAATGATAATATTCGAACAACATTTACAACACGTCATAAAAAAATTATTGCACAAAATAAACTTGACCTCATGACACTTTATATTAGTATGTCTGAAGCAGCTACACGTGGTTATCATCAGTATGGTGAAGATGAGAAAAACAAATTAATCCATCGTATGAACCACGATTCACTTCGACAATTTTTCGTCGAACCATTTATCCAAGCTATTGAACATCGGCAAAAACATATTCGACAATATATGCAATATGCAACAAAACGACGTCTTCATTTTTTCTACCATCGCTCCGATGATCGTCGACAAAATTGGTATCGTCGGAGCTATCATCTTAATTTATATTGGGATATTCTTCCATCCTCACCTATTATTGAAGTTCATTTAAAATTAACACCGGAACAATTGGCATTACTTTCTCGTGGACCAAAATATGTAACACCATGTCAAAGTCGATTTTATAACAAGAAAAAGAAAGAAAAATTAATAGACAAAGAACATAATAATCTTATGAGTACAATTAAAGAATTTTTCCGTCAACATAGTTATTGTATATCAGAAACACGTACCGATGAATTTTCAAGTGATCTTAAAAATCTTCTTGTATGTCTTTATACAAAAAAATTATCACGAAAATTATCTGTACGTGCAAAACGTGAACATAAATTAATAATGAGTATTCGTCGTTATTTACGCAAATATCAACAAGTGATTTTACGACGAACAGATAAAAGTAAAGTATTTCATTTAGGTGATGCCAATGATTATCAAAGAAAAGTCCTCGAATATATGCAAGAAACAGAAGCTTATGAAGAAATTACCTCTGGTATATCACCATTAGCAGCGAATTTAGAACAAGTTACTTCACTGTTAAATCATCTTCACCATGTTGCAAAACCCTTAATAACTAAAAAGCAATATGAAGCAATGTATCCAAAAGAAAAGGAAACTGAATTAGCTCACCTCTATTTTATACCAAAACCACATAAAGTATAAATATTTATTTTAAAATACACATGTCAACTTCTACTACAATACGTTTCTTCTAGATTGGCACACCATTACGACCGATCGTATCTGGAATTCATGCACCAGCTACATTAATATCCAAATATCTTGATGATTCACTTCGTCCTGTTTTTAATCGTGTTGCACGAAAAACAATCTATGTTAATAGTTTAGATCTTGTGAAACAATTAGAAAATCATGAAAGACAAGGTCATCTATTGTCAACTACAAAATTCATTACAGCTGATGTAAAAAATCTTTATACAATGATACCCAAAGGTGGTGCATTAGATGCTTTATATCGATTTTGTGTTAAACATGGTACAAATGGCAAAATTGGCAATTTAAATATCAATACCATTATTCGATTGGCATGTCTTGTATTAGATACCAATTGTTTTGTATTCGAAAACAAATATTACAAACAAATTCGTGGTGGTGCGATGGGCTCACCATTTACAATGACATTAGCTAATATTTATATGTATGAATGGGAACAATCATTAATAGAACACCAACAACAACGAAATGAACTCTATGGCCGGTAATTTGTTTTCTTTTCAAAAAGAAAAAGACAATAGGCGATGTATCACTATATTTTCATTGTAGGTATATTGATGATATATTTATGACGTCCAATGAACCTGTTGAAAACATTAAAGCATTACTTGATCGTGAAAATGCAAAAGATCCAAATATTCGTATCACGTATACTATTCATGAATCTGTTGAATTTCTTGATGTCTTAATTGAAAATATTCAAGGACAATTAAAAACATCAGTATTTCGTAAACCAGCTGCTGAACCATACATTTTACCATATACGTCGGATCATCCACGTCATATTCATTCCAATACAATCCATACAGCATTACTTCGAGCTATTCGACTTTGTTCAGACATAGAAACATTCGACCAAGAACGATTAAATATTGAAATAGCCCTACTGTTAAATGGATATCCACCAAATTTTATCAAACGTCATTTAATACAATTCTTTAAAAATCATAATGCTATGTCAATCTATCAAGACTTACATGCAGAAACCTATAAGAAACTACATCAACAACTACTTGACGAATCATTAACTCATCATACAGAATTCAATCAACCACAACAACAACAACAACAACAACAACAATATGCACAAACCAACCAACAATGTCAAACAACCACATCGAAAAAGCAACCATACATCATTATCCATTACCGATATGAGAGCGGTCCAGTAAAAACTCTCAATTCAAAACTTCGAAAACTTTGGAAGAAACATTTCTGTTACCCAACATCATCAGTTAATAATGTTCGACTCATCCTCGGTACTCGAATCAATAAAACAATCGAAGACTTACTAGTCAAGAAGAAAACACCTCGGAACCTACTCCGAAATGCCGATTCCACCTCAACATGACCAAATGTACAACTATGAAGCCAAAACATTATTGTTATATTTTTGTAATATTTTTTGTACATAAACATACTATATCAGAAAAGATATCTGAACATTAAGAGCAGCCCTCTACACTACTCAACACTTTCATCATTATCAATACTGTTTAAGAAAATTTTTATTTTCATTTTAGATAACTATTATACATACATGACAGAAATACAATGCAAACACATATAAAATAATCACACCAATCAGCCAAAAAAATACAACAACAAACAACATAAACACAATATATGGGGAATCACAACCAACATAACAAGCAAATGAAAGATCTACCAAACTAAACTACAGCAACACAAGAAAAAAAAACCTCGACTATTATAATATGAAATCGACAATCCCCATCATCACTCTATCCCGTCAAAACGCCTAAGTCGATGATCATGACACCATACCAGGTAAGACCAAAACTGACACATACAAAAAAGCAGCAACATTCCATCATACACTATACAGATGAACTTAATAGAAAACACGAAACGTCCCAGAGAGGACCAACAAACCAGATAGAAACTGAAAAAAAACAACGCAACACATATAAAGCAGAATAAAAAAAACACAGCCGCCAAGTTGAAATACCAACTATACACATTCAATCTCCCAAAAGCAAACAAATCTTCAGCACATATCTTCACATATCATTAATATTAGTATCAAAAAACTTCCATAACAAAAAACCCAGCCTTTAAATTCTATAGCAGACGAAAACTAGACTTAAGTTAATTTTACTTGAAAATTTTACTTGTACATATGACT